TTGTATACCGCCGGGGAATGTTGAGATCTTCTGGGGATACCCAACTTCCTTAAGGCTGACAGTGGTCTAACTCTGCTTGGGGGAGAGCGTTGCTGACTTGCTGGAGATGTTGTGCCTTTTTAGGGCTAGCTCTGCTCAGGGAAGAGTATTGCCGAACCTTGTCTCACTCTCTGGGGAATTAAGGTATCTTGGTTACATTCTTCAGCCGAACTTACCTTGGTACCTTGGTGGACAGAGTAACTAGATCGCTTAGACAACTCCTTATTGCCCCTGTTTCTGATGTCACCTGTAATTAATCCTTTGTTTCGCATGCAGATATTTATGAGTTAGCAATTAGTGTCAAATGCATATATCAAAACTGAACATTAGACGTTCTTCGCAAGACAAAACAAAAAGAGAAAATAATTGGCAATTTGTCTGGAAAAGTGAATTTGTATTGATTTTTGAATTAGCCTGTAAATAGGCGTTTATGTACAAGAGGCTGACGTCCTGGTAAGAGAACACCACCGAACAATAGAGTTTATACACTTTGTGAAAAGGAAAACAAAACAGCTATGTGAAAAATAATCCCACTGGGTTTCAACTCTGCTATCGCCTTTATGTCTTCAAGCGTCTCATCACTTGGCTGCTCAATTGAAGATGAAGTTGATTGATCGATGCCGTCTGAACCTGCCAGTTGATACCGGATTCTGGATGCAAGGTGATCCAATGAGACATAGTATTACGCTTTATCCCTAACTTTTGCTTGGACCGCCCTTTTGGGTTTTCAGTCCACCGGGATACCCATTTTTGCCCAAGCCGCCTTTTCAAGTTTTCGACTTGTCGGGTGTACATATTTTTTCATTTCATCCCTTATTTTTGCCCGAACCCTTTTGGTTCGCCGGGAAGCCCTTATTTTTGCCTAGGTGTGTCAACCTAGCGGGTCTTTTATCATACATAGTATCTTTTTACTATGTCTGCATTGGCGGGGTGAGGAAGGTCGTCACCATCCATGGTGGTTAGAATCATAACTCCTCCTGAGAAGACATGTTTAACCACAAATGGCCCTTCGTACGTAGGGGTCCATTTGCCCCTGGGATCACTTTGAGGAAGGATGATGTGCTTGATTACCAGGTCTCCGACTTGATACTCTTGTGGTCTGACTTTCTTGTTAAATGCCCTGATCATCCGTTTTTGATACGTTTGACCATGACAAATAGCAGCGAGTCTCTTTTCGTCAATTAGGTTTAATTGATCAAGTCGGGTCTGGATCTAGTCATCTTCGCTCAGACCTGCATCCTTCATTATCTGGAGAGAGGGTATCTGGACTTCAATAGGCAAGACTGCCTCCATGCCATAGACCAAGGAAAAAGGAGTTGCCCCAGTTGACGTCCTTGCTGAGGTACGGTACCCATGAAGAGCAAACGGTAACATCTCGTGCCAATCTTTATAGGTCACTGTCATCTTCTGCACAATCTTCTTGATATTCTTATTTGCCGCTTCGACAGCCCCGTTCATCTTCGGTCGGTAGGGAGAAGAGTTGTGGTGCTGTATCTTGAATTGCTCGCAGGGCTCAGTGATCATCTTATTGTTAAGATTGGTACCATTGTCCGTAATGATACTTTCCGGGACTCCGTATCGACAGATCAGGTTATGCCGAATGAACTGTGCCACGACGTTCTTGGTTACCGTAGCGTAAGAAGCTGTTTCGACCCACTTTGTAAAGTAGTCGATTGCCACCAGGATGAAGCGATGCCCGTTAGATGCCGTAGGTTTGATCTCGCCGATCATATCAATGCCCCACATTGCAAAAGGCCAAGGTGCAGTCAAGACATTCAGAGGGACTGGGGGAACGTGCACTTTATCAGCATAGATCTGGCACTTATGACATGTCCGAGAATGTTGGTAACAATCGGCTTCCATTGTGGACCAGAAATATCCTGCCCGAAGGATTTTCTTTGCCATGGTATGTCCACTGGAATGCGTTCCGAAGGTACTTTCATGCAGCTCTGCCATGATTCTTTCTGCTTCAGTCTTATCCACACAACACAATAAGGTTGAATCATGGTTTCGGTTGTAGAGAACGTCGTTGCTGAGGAAGAACTTTGCTGTGAATCTTCTCAGAAACTTCTTGTCATTGACAGATGCACCCTCGGGGTATTCTTGAGCTTCCAAGTACCTCTTCACTTCATGATACCAAGGTTTTTCGGTTACCACCTCAGCCTCAAGATCACAGCAGTATGCAGGTTCATCCAGCTTCCAGATAATGATCCGGGGAGCTTAGTTATCCCATTTGACTTTGAACATGGAAGACATCGTAGCCAGCGCGTCCGCCAACTGATTCTCCTCTCTTGGGAAGTGTTCAAAAGTTATCTCCGTGAAATGGGGGATCAACGTCAACACACACTCTTTGTAAGGAATAAGGTTTGGGTGTTTTGTATCCCACTCGCCTTTGATCTGATTGATCACGAGAGCGGAATCTCCGAAGACACTCAGAAACTTGATCCTTAAGTCAATTGCAGCCTGAAGACCCATGATACACGCCTCATACTCCACCATGTTGTTGGTGCAGTTGAAGCATAGCCGGGCAGTAAGTGGAGTATGAGTACCTTTTGGGGATATGATCATAACTCCAATACTGTTACCCAAAGCGTTGGAGGCTCCGTCAAAGTGCATAGACCATCGGGATCCTTCCTCAGGTCCTTCATCCGGTCCAGGTATTTCACAATCAGTCACTACCATGATGTTCTTGTCTGGAAATTCAAAGTTCATCGACTGGTAATCGTCCACTGCCTGGTGTGCCAAATGGTCTGCCAATACACTCCCTTTAATTGCTTTCTGAGTCGTGTACTGGATGTCACATTCCGTCAAGATCATATGCCATCTTTCTATTCTTCTGGACAAGGCGGGCTTTTCGAATATGTACTTGATTGGATCCATTTTTGAAATTAACAGAGTAGTGTGAGTCAACATATATTGTCTCAGCCGGCGAGCAGCCCATACCAAAGCGCAACAAGTTTTCTCGAGCAGTGAGTATCGGGTCTCACAGTCGGTAAACTTTTTGTTAAGGTAATAAATGGCATGCTCTTTTCGGCCAGACTCGTCATGCTACCCCAGCACACACCCCATTGAGCCGTCAAGTACTGTCAAGTATAGTATTAGAGGTCTCCCTTCAACCGGTGGCATAAGAATGGGTGGTTCTTGAAGATACTCTTTGATTCTGTCGAAAGCGGCCTGACATTCATCGTTCCAACGTACTACTTGATCTTTCTTCAGTAGCTTGAAGATTGGTTCACAGGTAGCAGTTAGGTGCGAGATGAATCGGACAATGTAGTTCAGTCGTCCTAGAAAGCCTCTGACTTCTTTCTCTGTCTTGGGAACTGGAATCTCTTGTATGGCTTTAACCTTGGCGGGGTCCACTTGAATACCTTTGTCACTCACGACGAAGCCTAGCAATTTTCCAGATCTTACCCCAAAGGTGCACTTGTTTGGGTTCAACCTCAGCTTGTACAACTTCAGACGGTCAAACAGCTTTTGTAGATGGCGAAGGTGTTCCTCCTCAGTTTGAGACCTTGCAATCATATCATCGACGTATACTTCAATCTCATGTTGGATCATGTCATGAAATAAAGCAACCATGGCACGTTGGTAGGTTGCCCCAACATTTTTCAACCCAAAAGGCATGACCTTGTGTTGTACCCCAATTTTTGACCTAAGATCCCATTTTTATTTTTGCATTTTTAAAGATAAGTCAAGGTCACGAAATACAGTCAGTTTTAACCTCTCACCTTTGAGCTTTGACTATGCGAAGATTGTCAAGTGTTTTGAACATTTTTAGCCTATGTATCACTAATTTTGAATCGCATACAAAGGTGTATGTTCATGTTTTCTTTTGTTTCATGTGCAGAGACAGGTCTGAATCAAGAGCATCAGGTGTCGCGCCTCAATTAAGGTTTTGAGTCTCCCAAGCCATAAGTACGGTTGATTGTGGATTCTCGAAGGCTGATTCATCAAGGTACAACTGTTGCACCCTAAATTTCGCCCCTAATATGTTTTAGTCGCACTTTCATATCCTATTTTGTTATTTGGTCACAATCATTAGTAAATATCTTCATTCATCATATTTTGCATCATTAGTCGTATTTAATGTTGACCAGAAAAAGTCAGTTTAAATCAAAGTTTGCATCGTCTTTCAGTTATAAAATACCCGACATTTCACATCATTCATTTTTACCTGTTTACTATTTTCTTGCATTGCTCCAAGTTGCTTATATGTCGATAATAAAAATATTTCGGTTTTATAGACAGACTGTTAAAAGTGATTCGACACTATGCGGGAAAGTAGCGAGAAAATATTTCAAGTTTTCACCTTTTACCGATCATTTTATGAATCTGCGCTTCGCGTAGATTATGACGGTATGCTCGCTTTATCTTTTCGGTACAGTTCGAAGTCTCGTTTTTAACCTTAAACGTCTGTTTAGTCTGATATTTTTATTATTATTTTATTTTTGATTTTTTGACTTCTTGAATATTTTTTCTTTAATATTTGTGACATGTAGATTATTTTAATGTGTTCATTTTATTTTTTCGGATAAATTTTCGTCCGTTTTTTTTAATCATTTTCGGTCATTTTGGGTCTTTATTTTTTATTCATAAAATATTCAAAAAAATCATTTTAAATTGAGTTAATCTTAATACATTTAGTTTTTTTTGGTTATTTTTATCATTTAAGGACTATTTGATCACAAAATATATTATTTACACTATGCTCTATTCCTATTGGTTGTTGGATGAAATTGAGGATCGATACAAGTGCTCAAAAACAAATAAGCAGCATTGCACTACCAAGACACAAAACCACTCTTGTTGACTCTTGAACCAAAAGTCCCTATATTCTCAATATCACACACATCCTCATCGTCCATAAATACCCCACACAACTCAATCAAAATCACAAAAACAATAACACTAACAAATCCTCACACACATTGCCACCAAAACAACACAACAAAAACAGCATAATGTTACAACCACTACTCTTATCACTGTTCCTGCTTCTTTGTCCATTTTCAACAGAATCAACCCCAATCAACGTATGGCCCAAACCAACAAATCTCACATGGACCTCACCACACCAATCCACACTCCTCTCTCCAACATTCACCATCACCATCACCACCCAACACCAAAACAACCACCTCTCTGCCGCCATAATCCGTTACACAAACCTCATCAAAACAGAACACCACCGTCCCTTAACTCACCTCACGAACTCGCTACTTCCATCCCTTCTTCCTTGTTCTCAAACCGCTTCCAAATCCAATCCCATTCCCACTGTCTCTCTCTCATAACCAGCCGTTTCTACACATCCTCCGCTACCATAACCCATTCCATCATCTCACTGTAACCCAACCTCTGTACCGTTTCCCGGCTACCGCATACTCTCTCCACAACCTGCTATCACGCCATCATCATCAATGTTATCAACCACTACCTGTTGTTGGCAAACCTCGCACGCGTACCTCTGCCTCTGTTTCTTCCGGCAACAACATCCGCCACTGTCCATCACCCTCATCATCAGACAAGCCCCTCCGATTTCCCCTTCAGGATGTCTACAAGATTGGAGGAATTGGAACTGTGCCTGTGGGACGTGTTGAGACTGGTGTCATCAAACCTGGAATGGTGGTCACTTTTGTTCCATCTGGACTATCAACTGAAGTCAAGTCTGTTGAGATGCACCATGAAGCTCTCACGGAGGCCCTTCCCGGTGACAATGTTGGGTTTAATGTTAAGAATGTTGCTGTTAAGGATCTCAAGCGTGGTTTTGTTGCCTCTAACTCCAAGGATGACCCAGCCAAGGAGGCTGCTAACTTTACCTCTCAAGTGATCATCATGAATCACCCTGGTCATATTGGAAATGGCTATGCCCCTGTTCTTGACTGCCATACCTCACACAACTGCCACCTTAGACCACCAGACCTCTTCTGCAGATCCGCGCCTCCGTGAACAACAACAACCATCCATCCTCTCACCCCTGCTAACGCTCATCCCCTTGCTGTAACTTCTTCTTCACCGTTTTTAATGATTATTATTTTTTAATATGTCATTACTACATTTTTTAGGTTAGGTTATTGTTATAAAAGTTTGGGCTTTTCAATCTTTGAGCCCTTGTTTACTAACCAATATACCCTCCAATACTATCAGCACACCCCATATTTTATGTTTTAACATTATCTTTTATTCTTTTATTTGATTTATTTTTAATATACTTACTTTAAAGTTTTGTTTTAGATTTAATCTAGGAGATTTAAAAATATATAGTTGATTAGATTTAATATTAGGTTTATTAGTTTAATCATATAAAATTACAAAAAATCCCCTTTTAATTAGAACTAATTAGTTTAAAATTAGAATTATTGTAGTAATTTTAATTTTAATTTAGTTAGTAAATTTTAGAATTTTTATTTAGTTTAGATTTAACTTAGGAATTTTATAATTTTAACTTAATTTACATTTTAATTTGGTTTAGGTTTAATTTAATAATCTCAGAACTATTTTTATAACCTTAGAACTTGTAATTTAGTTTAGAATTATTTTGGCAAGTGTTCTTAAATTTTTAATTTAGTTCAGATAAGTTCTTTAGATAATTTGTTACATTCTCTTTTATTTGTTTTTAAATATCTCTGTCATTTTAATTTTTTCGGTGCCTTTTGGCCATTAACATGTTTCGTTAGATTTATTTTCTTTCGAATTCCCGAATGCTTATATTTTGATGTTCATTTTATTTTGCTTGGTCGATTTATTCCAAGGAGAATATTTTAACTTTCTTGACTTCATGTCATCAAATATCTAATACGATCAAGCGAACACCCTCATTCATTTTTTTCCTATTTACTATTTTTTCCAAAATTAAGTCGATTTTCCTAAAAGATTCAAATTTCAAACTCACACCTTTTAAGTCAAAACTTCGACACTAGGTCGTCGTATCTTCAAAAATATCGTCCATACCCATCTTTAACCAAACAAACCATTTTAATCAAACAAACAATTTTAACCAAAAAACAGATATTTCAAAAGGTTCCTGCGGAGTACCGCAGATGCATTGGGTGCTAATACCTTCCTATTGTATAACCAACCCCCGAACCATAGACCTCTTTTCAAAAATGCCTTGTATTTTCATTACTTTTAAAAGTATTATTTTACATTGCATACTTTAGGGTTTTATTTCGCTCTTTTCCCTTTTCCCTTGGAAATAATAAAGCGCGGTGGCGACTTTTGCTTTTGTGAGTCAAGTTAATTAATAGCTTGATCTCCGATTTTCACCGCTACACCTTGTAACAGAAGGCGCCCCACTGAGTAACAAAGGTAGTCTTTTCCATATCTTCAGGAGCCATCTTGATCTGATTATAACCTGAAAAGCCGTCCATGAAGGAGAACAACTTGCGCTGAGCAGTATTGTCAACCAGAATGTCGATGTGAGGCAGGGGAAGTCATCCTTGGGGCTCGCCCTGTTCAAATCCCTGTAGTCAACACATATTATGACCTTACCATCTTTCTTCGGCACTGGAACCATGTTAGCAACCCACTGAGGGTAAGAAGTCACTGCTAGAAACCCGACATCAAATTGTTTCATAACCTCAGCTTTGATCTTCTCGGACATCTCTGGACGCATACGGCGAACCTTCTGCTTAAATGGAGGGAAGTCTTCCTTGGTAGGCAGGTGATGAACCACAATGTCAGTATCCAACCCAGGCATGTCTTCGTAAGACCAGGCAAAGATTTCCACATAATCATGCAGCATCTGAATCAACCATTTTTTCACACTAAGCTCTAAGTTGGCACCAATCTTGACTTCCTTTCTGTCTGCCTCAGTACCCAGATTTACCGTTTCCACTGGCTCTTCATGTGGCTGAATGGCCCTCTCTTCCTGGAGTAACAGTCTTGCAAGCTCGCCAGGCACTTCACAATCATCTTCACCTTCGTCTTCGGCTAAGTTGATCGGATTTTCGAAGTCATAACTGGCAGTAGCAGAGTCGTTACCAGTGAGATCCAGAGTGGATTGAAACCTGTATAGGTGAGTGTGTGTAAATATAGCTGTTTTGCAATATATAAAGAAAGAAAGGGAGCACAAGATTCGAAATGCGAAAAACGTCCAATGTTTTTATTCATGATATATGGAAATGACAAGTAAATAGCCCTCACAAATGAAGCCACGGTGCCCCGGGTAAGACACCGGACCATAAAGTTTCAAATTATTGTTCGTTACAAATTTAAAAACAAAGGAGTTCATTACTGAGTAACAAAAGTAACAGGTATGAAATCTTTGGTTGTCCAATTGTTCAGTCCACCGTCGGTCGTTGGGTAGATCCAGCTGTCAAATTAAGATTCCTCCGCATTGTCTTCAATAGCATTCACTCCCGGGTTGGTGATGAATACAGGAGGTCTTCCAATCCTTGCTTTACGTACAGCCCTCTGAGCCTATGCAGTGAAACCCAGCCCAAACTTGACAGTCTTTGGAGTAAAATCAGGAAGTCGGCCCCAGTTTGCACACTCACCTTTATCAATCACAGCCCGGGCATCCTTTAAGGAAGCCATCTTCAAAGGAGAGTCTTCTTAGGTCACAGTCTCTGCTGACGCCAATGTTGGAGGCACCTCTTCGAAGTGTTGAAAGGGGGTCTCAATGAACTCCCCATCCATCTCTATATACCGGAATGAGTTAAGATGGCTAACCATGTATTCCTCCTCCCCCTGCACTGTGACAATCTTCCCTCTGACTGGGTACTTAAGCTTTTGATGTAGAGTAGAGGTCACAGCCCCAGCCTTGTGGATCCAAGGACGACCCAGCAAACAAGAATAGGATGGTCGAATGCCCATCACATAGAATGTTGAATCAAAGACTTGAGAACCAACCCGGATCGGAATATCTACTTCACCATGTACCATCCTCTTCGACCCGTCAAAGGCCCGGACAATAATGTTACTAGGCTTCAACTCCAAACCCTCACAATCCAACCTGTCTAAGGCCTTCTTGGGCAATATGTTCAGTGAAGAACCGGTGTCTACCAACACATGGGCAATAGTAGTGCCCCTGCATTCAATGGAGACATGAAGGGCATCGTTGTGGTTCTTTCCCTTGGCGGTCAGATCAGCATCAGAGAAACCCAGACCATTATCAGCGGTTAAGTTGGCCACACAATCAGTAAATTGATTGGCAGACGTCTCTTGTGGCACGTGGGCCGTCTTCAGGAAGGAAATCAGGGCCTTGGCATGGGCCTCTGAACACAACAACAATGATAGCATATAGATCTTAGAGGGAGTGTGCCCCAGCTGTTCAACGACGTTGAAATCACTCTTCTTGATAATCTTAAGGATTTCTTCCATCTCTTGCTGGGAAGCTTCAACATTAACAGTCTTCGGTGCCTCCATCTGGGCAGGCACATCAGCAATCCCTTTGCCCCGAGTGTCATATGACTCGGCAGCAGGGGTAGAAACTTGATCAGGAGGGGAAACAGGCGCACTCGCAGGTGTGATAACAAGAGGTCTCTGAATAGCTGGAGGTGCAATATCAGGCGAGAAGAGCCTGCCACTGCGAGTAACTTTAGCAGGACCGGAGATGTTACTGATGCCGGTACTAGTATTGAACTCTTGTTTTACTCCGAGCACATACACATCTGCCCCATAGTGCCACGGGACAGCCTTGTCAGATTTATAGGGGAGGGGCCTCGGAACAGTAATGATGATAGGTGCAACAGACATGATTTTGACGGGCTTCCTCGGGGGACCCTTGGTAGGATTATTGAAAATGGTGACGACAGACACTTCTTCAGTAGGAATAATAGGAACAACAGTCTTCTTGAACAAGATCTCTTTGCTATCCATCATGTTTTAGACGCCTGACTTCAGCAACGGACAACCAGCAGGTGAAACAGCACATAGAAGGCAACCTTTGCTACAACCCGAAAATAAACCGGCTAGCAACAGGTTCCTCTTGACGGTCAACAATGGAGTAACAATTTCATCCACAGAGACTACATATAGGTCTTCCTCAACAGCATTTACTCCATGCTGGGGCATGGGGGCAGTCACAACATTGGGCCTTTCGGGCGCCTCAAACTGTATTTCCTTAGCATCGATAAGGTCCTGAACCTTATTCCTCAGGGCCCAACAATCATCAGTAGAATTCCCCGGGCTATCAGAGTGATAAGCATAGCGGGCGTTGGGGCTGTACTTCGGAGAGGTTGTGTTTACCACCTTCGGAGCTTCTTTGACAGTTACCAAGTTGGTTGACAGCAATTGCGGCAAGATCTGAGACAAGGTCATACTAAGCCGAGTGTATTCTCTTTTGGGTCTCTCACCCCTTGGTTGGTTAGGTTGCCGAGGAGCGGCAACAGGATTTGAAATCACCACCGTGTTGACAGCTTTGCGGCGTTCCGGTTTATTTTGTCTTCTGGGACCATACACATCACTAGCTTCCTTCTTGAAAGGCTTTTTTCCAGAACTTGAGGATGCACCTTTCTGTATCTTCCCCGATTTCATACCAGCTTCTATCCTCTCACCAGTCAGAATGAGGTCCGTAAACCCTGCAGAAGAATTACCAATCAGGTGGTTGAAGAACGGCCCAGACAGGGTCCCCAAGAACATGTCCACGAGTTCACGGTCAGTCAACGGTGGCTGCACCCTGCCAGCCAGGTCTCTCCACTTTTGCGCGTACTCTTTAAAACCTTCTCCCGATCCTAGCGACATACCCTGGAGTTGGGTACGTGTAGGAGCGAGGTCGGCATTGTACTGATACTGCTTATAAAAAGCAGTAGCCAAGTCCTCCCAGTTTCGAATACTGGCTCCATCCAGCTGATAGAACCACTCAAGTTGAGCCCCTGAAAGGATCTCCTGGAAGAAATGGATCCATAAGTTCTTGTCTACAGTATACGGTTGGATATTCCTCACATAAGATCTGAGATGTAGCTTAGGGCAGGAAGCCCCGTCATACTTTGCAAAAGAGGGTGCCT